CTTTCCAGGTCTGCAGAGAGTAAGAATATCACTTGTTCATCTCATTCACGATCCTTGCAACCTTCTATGCGCTGCATCGTTGGATGGAAATTGGAGTCCCAGACAGAAATCAGGCTCCATTCTGCTTCCAGAAGGTCAGAGTCCAGGGGTGAGAACCCAGTGGAGAACATATGGGGTTATATGGACATAGTAATGATAACACCGGAAACTTTCAGCAAAAAAAGACTCACCTATAGAATGAGGGCAGTCACGTTTATTTGAAGATGACAGCGCTACATAGAAATCACAACAAATTTTTATAAGCTTTACTGATGACAGAAGACTGAAAAATCATCTGAGGGGAGGTGGAACAGCATGAGGGAAGGTGGAACAGCATGAGTCTAAGTGCCGTGTTAAGACAGAGCCTCTTGTATGTTTGGAATTGTGAGCTCCTCAGTGTGACTGCAGTCTCAAGTAGGACTAGGAAGCAAGTCAGTTAGTTTGGAGAGGTGGGCAGGGGTCAAGTGAAGTGGAGAATGGTGGGCTAAGCAAAGGAGTGCGTTTTCTCTGCAGCAGGCAGTGGGAACCACAGACATTGGTAAGCAAGAGAGAGCCAACAGATTTGTGGTGTGAGGAAGAGCAATGCTCTAAGATGCAGAGTCGAGACTTCAGATTCCAGCTGCTGGTACATTGGAGATGTCAAGCTGGTTTTGAGACAGGGCTGTGGTCTCCCTAGAAGACCCCCTCCAGGCCTGTCTGTGGTGCTCCTGGGCTGGAGACAACGATCTGGGCTCAGCATCTGGAAGCTCTATGTACACGCTGGTATCTGTTGGGGGTGTCTTGGGCCTCTGAGAAGGGCGAGTGATTTTTCCCCGTGTGAGAACGCAGTGATCCAACTGTGCGTATGTCACCTCCTGAGGGTCTTGTTCATCAGAGTCCTGGAGAGAGGGAAATGTTGAGTGAGGGAGGGGCTCACATTCTTCAGGACTAGTAGGGAATAAGACTATATCCATGAGGCTGGGGAGAGGAGGACCTACCTCCCTGTTCACTGTTCTGTTCACCGCAGGCTCTTGGTCCATTACAGCAGCATCTGTAGGAGACAAAAGTCATCAAAACAGCTGGGAGGGCACGTCTGGGTCCTCATTTCATGTGCAGAGCCCAACACACAGGGGGAGACTGTAGGTGCCTGAGGTCCCTCAGCTGCCAACAGCCAGGCTCAGACATTCCGTCTCTCTGAGTTCAAGACCCTTTCCCATGAATGGCTCTCAATTTCCATCCCATTGATTCTGTCTCCCACTTTCTGCCTGTCATGGAACCTTCTCCTGGATGTCAGTGGCTGCAGGGACGAGAGGATACAGTTCAGAATCAGGCAATGGTCTGTGAGCTGAAGGCAAGGACAGGGTGTCTGGTGCTCTCTCTAGAAATCCCTGCCTCTGTGTCTCCTGCCTTGGGCCAGAGACCATCCTGCCGGTGAGGAACACACACCTGCGTGCTCCAATCCCGCTTCCCCACTCAGCCCTGAGGTCTGTGGCCTCTGCTTCGTGAGACTTACTCTTTTTGTTGGAGCACCAGCGATGCAGGAGAAAGAAGAAGATGGTGAAGAGGATCATGACCACTGAGGTCCCAATCAGAACATGCAGGTGTCTGGGGATACCTTGAGGAAGAAGAGACTCCAATAGGAAGCTAATCATAGCAGTTCCTTCTTATGGATTGTCTCTCGTTTCTTGATTGACAGGCAACCATGTGGAATGTCTCCTTAGGACAAGCGGTCCGATGGCGGGAGACCCAGCTTTCTCCTGCTCTCTCAGTTACAGCTCTCACAGTCACCATGGAACGTGCTGAACATACAACTGCTTTAATTTAGATGTTTGACCCCTTGAAACCTCACATTGAAATTTAACCCCCAGTGTGGGAGGTTGGGCCTCTTGGGAGGTGTTTGGGCCATGGGGATAGATCCATTGTGAATAGATTAATGGTGCCCTACATGACGGGGTTAGCAAGTTCTCCCTGTATTATATCCTGGAGAGCTGGTTGTTAAAAAGAGCTTGGGGTCAGGGGCGGTGGCTCATGCCTGTAATCCCAGCATTTTGGGAGGCCGAGGCGGGCGGTTCACGAGGTCAGGAGATCGAGACCATCCTGGCTAACAAGGTGAAACCCCGTCTCTACTAAAAACTCAAAAAATTAGCCGGGCGTGGTGGTGGGCTCCCAGCTACTCAGGAGGCTGAGGCAGGAGAATGGCGTGAACCCTGGAGGTGGAGCCTGCAGTGAGACGAGATCGCGCCACCACACTCCAGCCTGGGCCACATAGCAAGAGTCCGTCTCCAAGAACTTGGAAGCTCCATCTCTCCCCCTCCTACTTCCTCCCTCCCTTGCCGTGTGATCTCGGTGTTCTCTGCACGTGGAGACCCTCCTTCTCTTCTGCCAGAGTGGGAGCAGCCTGAGGCCATCACAAGAAATAGATGCTGGTTCCATGCTTCCAGTACAGTGTGCAGAACTGTGAGCCAAACAAATCTCTTTTCTTTAGAAGGTACCCAGGCTCAAGTGTTCTTTTAGAGCCACAAAAATGGAGTAAGATAGCAACATCCTGAGAGCAGGAGGAACATGCCCAAACGGGCTGGGCTCTCTTCCTGTTCTTCCTAGAAGGACTGGCTCACATTGAAATGCAGGCTTCTGTTGTCACTTGCTGGTTATCTGTTAGTAATGAACCTGCCTATGTCATGTATTCTCTGTGTGTTCTGTCTCCCTGGAGTGATGGTGAGTAACAGAAACTGGCATAGCCCCAGGTGCAGTACAGGAGGTGTTTAGAGTCGTCTCTGGGAAGACTGGACTGGGATTGATACACAGTGAATGTGCTTTACAGTTTCTACATCCACAACATTCTTGACTCAAGCAACAAACATTCTCCAACAAAAGGAAACAAAAGTGAAATAAAGATAAAAAAAAGCGAAGTAGAATTCTCTTATGTCAAACAGCCAGGAAATAATGATGAAGCCCGTGTGAAACGGGCTATACTTTGTGATCTCAGGAGACACATATAAGGCTGCTGTTCTGCCGGACAGTCTGGGGGAAGGACAACGTCCTCCACCATCTATTGCTTCAATACAACCTGTCCTTCGGTGAATTAGTGCGAAGGGAGGGTAAGAGCTAGTGCTGGTGCTGATCTCTGATTCCAAGATCTGAACTCACTCTAAGGAGTATTAGTGTTTACCTCCTCATGGTCTATCTGAATCTCCACAGGTGATTGGAAGCTGGGGTGAGGTGGGGGATTTGCGTGAGGGGGAAAGTGTTTTGCAATGAACAGAGCACACGTTCTCTATTCCTGGACCTGTGCTGGTGGGTTCAGGGGGCTTTTATATTTTCTCTATGATCTCCTGTTCACAGAAAGCCAAATAGGGAAGAGGTTTTAGGCTGATTTTCTAATGGATAAGATAAAGGATCAAGGAAGTAATTACAGAGATCTAGAAAAATGGTGATTGGAATGGAGGTACCTTTGTCATTCATGTATGTTGTATTATATTTTTGTATTTTTATTTTTTGAGATGGAGTCTCTTTGTGTCACTCAGGCTGGAATGCAGTGGGTGATCTCGGCTCACTGTTTCTGCTTCCGGGATTGAAGTCATTCTCCTGGTTCAGCCTTCAGAGTAGCTGCGATTACAGGCGTGCCCTACCATGCATGACTAATTTCTGCATTTTTAGTAGAGACAGGGTTTCAGCGTGTTGGCCAGGCTGGTCTCGAACTCCTGATCTCAAGTGATCTATCCACATCAGCCTCCCAAAATGCTGGGTTAGAGGCATGAGCCACGATTCACAGCCTTGTATATTATGCTGTAATAGGTCCCTTCATTTGCACCATGCCTCGTCTTTCTATCACTCCTCTACCAGGTGTTGATTTACATGTAGGAGAAATAAATCTCAGAAAGAAATTAATGAAGCAAGGAATAAACAACTAGGAAAAATCAAACCCAGCAAGCCCTCCCTGCAAATGATTCTACCTCACAAACATATCCTGTATCCATCCACTTCATCTACTCAGTGTCTAAATCAGCACCACATTTCACCTGTGGGGCGGGAACCACCTTTTCCACGGTCTCCTAGATTCCAGTTACGCACCTGGGCCTCCCTTATGTTCATGGCAGTCACTATTAATCATGTAGGGATTCCTAGTGAGCCCGAGGTGAATCCAAGGGCTGTGAGTATAAAACACACACTCTTTGTCCTCCTTAGTTTCCTGTGTGCCCAGTGTGCTCTTCTCTCACTCCAGTGGTCTTGTAATTCTCCCACCTCATTCCCAGCGTTTCAGGCAGAGCCGCTTCCTTCCACATAAGATTGTTTTCACCTTTGTGCCTTCACGGCTGAGAGCTGTGTGTGGAAACTCCTTCCGCCAGTCTTCCATTTTTTTCATTAACATCACAAATATGTGATTAGTGAGACCTTCTCTGTTACCTGAAATCATACACTCAACATTATCTATTATTTATTTTAAATTCTGACTGGGTGCCGTGGTTCATGCCTATAATCTCAGCACTTTGGGAGGCTGAGGCGGTCAGATGACTTTAGATTGGGAGTTGGAGATAGACTGGGCAACATGGTGAGACATTGTCTCTACCAAAAATCTACAAAAAGAATTAGCCAGGTGTGGTGGCAGGTGCCTGTAATCCAAGCTACTCGAGAGGCTGAGGCAGGAGAATCACTTGAACCCAGGAGGCGGAGGTTGCAGTGAGCCAAGATCGTGACACTGCACTCCAGTGTAGGGGATAGAGTGAGACTCTGTCTTAATAAAAAAAAAGAAAAAAAAATAAACAAATAAATAGATTTTATGCACAGATATTTCCCAATAGATCAGCTATTTATAGGTCCACTTGTGCATTCATTTTCTTTCCTCTCGTTTACCCATCTGCAACGTCAGTGTCCCAAGAGCACAGGCCAAATGCATCCTGTTTACTATTTGTGGAAGGCAGGAGAATCCAGCCCACCCCAAAAATGTGCCTGTCCTAGCCTTCATACCTTGTGAATATGTGATTTTACGTGGAAAAGAGGAATGAAGATTGCAGATGGAATTATGGTTGCTAATCAGCTGAACTGAAAAGGAGGGTATCCTGGATGATATTATGGAGATGATAATGGATTATCTTGGTGAATGCAATATAATCCCAAAGTCCTTAAAAGATGAGGAAGAAGGCAGAGAAAGAGGCGTGGACAAGGAAGAAGGGTCTGAGTGATGCCATGTGAGTCGTGACCAGTCTTTGTGGGTTTTGAGGAAGGAGGAAGGGGACCAGGAGCCAAGGACCGTGGGAGCCTCTAGAAACTGGGACATGTGAAGAGCAGATTCTCGCCTGGAACCTTCGGAGGGAAGGCAGCCTTGCTGTCACCTTGATTTTAGCCCAGTGAGGTGCATTTCATCCTTTGAGCTACAGCACTGTAAGATAATTAAAAAGCCGTTTTGTTTTCATCCACCAATTTTGTGGAAATTTGTTATGGCAACAACAGGAAAGGATTCTAACTGCCCAGCCTCAGCATGGAGCCATGGCTGAATGAGTCAGTGAGTCGAAGTGTGCGTGCATGAGCTCTGTTCTCTGTTACTCAAGGCTCTTGCTCTGCTGAGTCAGCCAGGGTTGCCTCATGACCAACAGGAGCTCATTCCTTGGCAAGTGGAACTTCTCTGAAACACATCACCCTCATTAGATGTTCCCTTCCCTTCCCTCTTTCAAGCCCCCAGGAATTTATCCTCCAGTTAGGAATGCAGGGAGAACACTGCATTTTTCCTGAGAAGGATGTCAGATTTGCAATCATTCTTTCAGTTTGTGGGAGGTCTCAGCTGCAGAAAATTAGAGATTCAGAGACTTCATTGAGCCCTGTGCTGGGCCCAGATCCCTTTTGCTTTTGGAGTGTCTGGAGTTCAGAGAGATGGTGGAAGACAGGCCCACAGTCAGAGCTGGGAGGTGCTGAGCCAAGGCTTGACTCCAAGGCTTCCACCTCCCCAGGTTTCCAAAAGCAGAGATAAGAGGGATTCTTTACTCACCAGTTTTGGAGCTTGGTTCAGTGGGTGAAGGCCAAGTACGTGAAGGGTTTCCTAGAATAGAGACAGGAGAGAGGTGAGGAAATGAGGGTGCCTGTCCTCTACTCAACGGAAATCTTTGAGGTTGGTTCATGGCCAACACTGTGTTATCCAACACTAGGCTCTGGGAGTCCTGGGATCCTCTTCTCCATAATTTTTGTATGTGTTACCCATTGTCTCGAGACTTTAAGATATAGAGGGAAAACAGGAACATCACATTACCTGACTTAAAAATATGTTACAGAGCTGTAGTAAACAAAACAGCATGACGTTGGCATAAAGAAAAGTGCATAGAATAACGGAGTAAAATGAAGAACACAGATATAATCTATGCGTCTACATTCAACGGCTTTTTTTTTTTTTTGAGATGGAATCTTGCTCTGTCACCCAGGCTGGAGTGTAGAGGTGCAATCTCAGCTCACGGCAACCTCCGTCTCCTGAATTCAAGCAATTCTCTTGCTTCAGACTCTCGAGTAGTGGTATTACAGGTGCTGACCACCATGCTCAGCTAATTTTTGTACTTTTAGTGGAGACAGGGTTTTACTATGTTGGCCCGGTGGGCCTTGAACTCCTGGTCTCAGGTGATCCACCCACCTTAGCCTCTGAAAGTGCTGGGATTGCAGGTGTGAGCCACCATGCCCAGCCAATGCAATGCATTTTGACAAAAGTGTCAAGAACCTACAATGAGGAAAGGACAGTGTTTTCAATAAACGATGCGGGGAAAACGGGTTATCTGCATGCAGGGAATGAAACTGCACCTCTACCTCTCACCATTCACAAAAGTCAAATCCAAATGGATTAAATACATGAGTCTAAATCCTAAACCTATGAAACACATAGAAGAAAATATTGGGGAAATGCTTCAGGACATTTGTCTGAGAAAAGGCATTTTGTTTAAAACCTCAGAAACACAAGTAATCAAAGCAAAAAATGGACCATAGGGATTACATCAAACTAAGCAGCTTCTGCACTGCAAAACAAGCAATCAACAAAGTGAAGAGACAACCCACAGAATGGGAGCAAATATTTGCAGACTATGCATCTGAGATGGGATTTATAACTGGAAATATAAGACGCTCACATAACTCAATAAAACAAATAATTTAATTAAAAATGAGCAAAAGACTTGAACACACATTTCTCCACAAACAAAACATATAAATGGCCATTATTGAACTTGAACACACATTTCTCCACAAACAAAACATATAAATGGCCATCATGTCTATGAAAGTGTTCAGTATCACTCATCATCAGAGATATACAAATGAAAAATCACAATGAATTTTCATCTCACCCCATTAAAATGGCTTTTATCCATATGACAAGCAAAACAAATGCTGAGGGAACCTCTGATCTCCCCAAACTGAGCCCAGTCTCCCTTCTCTGGGTCTGTCCTGACCAGTTTCTCCATCTGCCTGGGTGTCTGGAGCCGTGACCGAGGACCACCACGCAGGCCATGCAGGAGAGTTTGGAGGTGCCCTCTCTGCCATCCTGCCTCCTGATCCCGCCCTCACACCAAGGCTTGGTCTTCTCTCTGAACCTGTCCATGCTTCTCTCCATCAGCAGCAGCAAGTTCCTCAGCTATGGCTCTGGGATCATAAGACATGGGACAGGCATGGGGTTTCCTCACCTGTGACAGAAACGGGCAGTGGGTCACTCGGGTGTGACCACTTGTAGGGTGTGGTACGGAAAGAACCGAAGCATCTGTAGGTTCCTCCGTGGGTGGCAGGGCCCAGAGGGAAGTCGCCCTGGAATGTTCCGTTGACGCTTCGCACTGCAGAGAGACTAAGTTCACGGGCCTCCCCCTCCCTGGATAGATGGTACATGTCAAAGGAGCGCCGGGAGCTGCAGGACAAGGTCACGTTCTCTCCTGCCTGAACCGTGGGGCCTGGCTGGGCTGAGAGAGAAGGTTTCTCATATTTACCTGGAAGGAGAAGAGGCAGTTTCTTCAGGGAGGTTCTTCCTTGTCACAGCTCTC